TACAGGAAGCCCCTGCCCCGGGCTTCCTGGAATCAGCCGCTGATCAGTTTCAGCAGCAGCTGACTTGGGGACGCCTGGGGTTCTTAAGTTGAATCTGTATGTAAGTCAGAACTGGCGTCCAGATTCAGCCGCTGTTGAAACTGATCAGTTTTAGCAGAGGCTGAATCTGGACGCCAGTTCCGACTTACATACAGATTCAACTTAAGAACAAACCTACAGTCCCTATCTTGTACGTAACCCGGGGACTGCCTGTAGTGGGAATAGGGAGAGAGAGCTGGGGTTCTTAAGTTGAATCTGTATGTAAGTCAGAACTGGCGTCCAGATTCAGCCGCTGTTGAAACTGATCAGTTTTAGCAGAGGCTGAATCTGGACGCCAGTTCCGACTTACATACAGATTCAACTTAAGAACAAACCTACAGTCCCTATCTTGTACGTAACCCGGGGACTGCCTGTAGTGGGAATAGGGAGAGAGAGGAAGGGAAAGGAAAAAAATGGGAAGGGGGGGGAGGAACAAAAGGAGGTAGTTGGTATATACATAAAGGCTGTGTCTAGACTGCAAGTTTTTTTTTAAAAAAGTAGCCTTTTTTTGAAAAAACTTCACCTGCATCTAGACTACAGCCGCGTTCTTTCGAAATTAAATCGAAAGAATGCAGATTTTCTTTCGACAGCAGTACTCCTCATTTCATGAGGAATAACACCTTTTTTCAAAAGTGCTCTTTCGAAAAAAGGCGCTATGTAATACAAACTGTGCTTTTTCGAAAGAGAGCATCCAGACTGCCTGGGTGCTCTCTTTCGAAAAAGCAGCTTGCTTTTTCGAAAGTACTGATTGTAGTCTAGATGCTCTTTTTCTAAAGAAGCTGTTTCAAAAGTATTTTTTGAAAAAGCCTCTTTTGAAAGAGGCTTGCAGTCTAGACATAACAAAGGGAAAACTGAGCTGGTATGTAACAGGCAAAACGGATCATCTAAAAAACGGCTAGTTAAAAGAAGCATATAAGGACCATTAGTTTGCAATTAGAGATGTAGTTGTATCATGCGTTTTTGTTTGCACAACTCACTTCTTCAGATGAATGGAATTTAAGGGATTCAGTTTTCAAATCAATAGCACAGAAAGAGTATGAAGGGGAAGAAGATGAAAAAAGGGGAGAGGGAGTGGAAAGGAACAAAATTGTCAACCTGTCCCTGCTAAATGAAGCTGATAAGATACTTAGAGTGGGTCCTACATTCCACACTCTAATGACATAGGACACAAACAGTACTTCAAGTGGGCCCTAAGTATTCTTATCAGCCACAGGACTAGCAATGGGATTGAAGGAACCACCACACTTCACACTCTTCTGACTGCTAAGGTTGGACACTCGTGTTATCTGTAGGTTTCACAGTTTACACTGGCGGTAGATAGGATTGTCCTCCAAGGTCCCGCAGCAGGAA